GGTTTTTAAGAAGCAATGATGCGAGTACAAAATTTCGACATCATTCTGTGAGTGCTGATTTGTACATGTTCATAGCCACTATAATAGTCCGTTTCTAGTTGTCATCACTCTATGTATTAATGTCAATTCATATTCTGATTCTGATTGCGCCTAACATGATTTAATAATTTAATAATGAATAATTTCTTACAAGTCTAACAGTTTACTGACAGACTTTATTACTTTCATATTTACTGTTTGACCAAAATTTACAACAATCGGCTTTTGGATTTTTCTTTCCATTTCAACTAATTTTCAGTAGTAAATGGCTAAAAAATTGCAGTGTGCAAATGTGTTAATTGTTTAATGATTATTTTTGTAGCGACCAAGTTCTCACCCTCGCCAATAGGTGGAATGCTACTTGAAGAAGGTTGGAGGACTTTCTGGCAAGTCCTCGATGAAGCCTGGACCTCCCTTAAATAGAAGTTCCTGTGCTACCTAGGTATCCCTGATCTAAGGCAGGGCCTGTTAGAAGAAAGCCTTACTCGATGAGTCCGCTAGCAGGCCCGGACGAAACGCATCCTTTCCTTTTCCTATCGTCCTACCTACCACCCTATCAATAGCAACAACGATCACGGGGAATACTACCAGGCCAACACCATAGGACACCAGCACATCATCAGGAACCACAAATCAGCTCAGCGCAAAGAAGTTCGTATCAGGTGTTCCTCTCGAATACATCGAATCAACTATAGTACGTAATAAACTTTTCCCTTGGGAACAGAATATTTGGAAGTGGTATCTACTCCACACCTGATATCCACATATCCTACAATTTTCAATCTTAAATATACGAATGTTGCTTTAAATCTGATATTTTGAATATGAAGGGTTTCTTGTTTCTCTTTATAGATCACTATTCCATTGTCGAGGAAATTGGAGAATAACCAATGAAGAATAAGTAAATCGGAGACATTGGCAATGCCGAGTGAACAATTACCGTCTTTGGAATGTCCAGAAACGCGTCACCAGATTTAAGGAAAATCCAATGTAACAGGTTGCTTACTCATAGTTATTAAACATGAGATGCGTAGGCTTATAATACATCGATTATTGTTCAACAAAAAAGGCAGGGAAAGTTAGAAACTTTCCGTTGATAGCTAGAACCTTGAAGCTCATATGTATATGAATATTTTAATAATAAATATTTTGTAGTATTTAAAATCTTGAATAATAGTACAGAAACGCATATTGAAATCTTACTTTGAAGTATAGCAAAAGAGTTAAAAATCTGGCAGAAGCTTGTTTATTCTGAAGAAATACTATTTGCAGCACTGAGTTTGGTTCGTGGAGTTCTTGACACAAATATGTATTTCAAGTATTTAAGTAACCGATTTTTCAAATTTAACATTGACCTTAAAATGTCACATGAATCATTTAGCCTGATTTCAAGCAGCACGATATTACTAACTTGGTAGCAGGTAGCGTTATTGCAGATTAACGTTACTATTAGCTCAACAACACTTGTTAGACTGAGGTATAATGAATTAAGTACGCAACAAAATGACATCACGATTTTCAGTGTCTCTCCATTTTAACTTCAAAGCGGCATATCTCGAGAAAAAGAATCGTCTCTTTATAAATCAAATTTGATTTTACAAGAGAAGGTTAGTACTATTCAGAACGGATGATAAAAATATTGCGAAAAGTTACTATCTTTGGAATATTTTTGTAAAGATAGTAAAAATCGATATTGTTTATTTATTGATTTCATGAACCTAAGATGCTTAGCAGTTTTTGTTTCCAGATTCAGGTTTGATTAATGAAAATACATAAGAAGCATTTTCGAAAAGCAAAATCTCGTTGATCTGCCTTTTGGTACCTATGTAATCATATTCTCATGGCCATTTCTTAACACAAACGTGTAAAATTTGTAGAAAGAAATGTGAAATGTAGTTAATTTTCGTTTGTATTATTAACCTATTAACTGCCAAAATTCTCATTTGAGAATTTTGGAATTTTACGTACATCAGTCGGCGCCAAAAATATATTTGGTACGCCTGAGAGTTTAGTTTTATTCTATTGTATATATATCAGTCAATATTGTATGTAGCAAAAAGTGTGTATTCTGTGCTTCGTTTCTATACAACGAGCGAACAAATTTGAAATTCATGTGTAAGTTGAACGGAACAGAATTGTCATATTTGAAGCATTATATTTTTGGTTCGGTTTTTATATTATAATGAAATACCGTACATAAATATGTAATTTAGAGATTATAGTAACGATTTGTTAATTACTCAGTCCTTTGTTTTTTATTGAAATGATTTTATTGATCATTTTATAACGATACCCATTTTGGGACTTTTCCAAAAATATCAAATATTTTCAAAACAAAACAGAATTTGAATATAATTATACTGTTACACAACCTTTTTTGCATATATATAACTTATCCGGTCAAAAATTTCATAAAAAGAAGTTTTGCAGTTAATGGGTTAAGGACGGGACACATAATATGAATACATATGTAACATACGCATATATTGCATTAGTTTCAAGAAACACTGAAAACTACAGGGTGTGTTATTGTTTTTTCGTGTGCAGTAGGACTTTTCGACCTCGAAAACCACGAATTAAATTCTTATTTAATACTGATATCAAGCAGTTGATATAATTTCATTCCTTTTTCATAGTATTATATACCATCATACTATGTATAACACACCATGCAGAGCTAAGAAGTTGACTCTTAGGAAGTAAAAGTCTAGTTCTATTCCTCTGACTTCATTTATTTCTTTTGGTTTATGGCGGCATAGCGTGACATAGTATTAAAATAAGTTATATGGTTACTATTTTTACAGCATGTTTATAATTAAATATATCATTATTATTATTTTATTTTTATCTTCATATAATTTATTCTCTTCAATATTTTGACTTCCAGTTAATAATAAAATTCACGTGGTTTATCTTGATATTGTATTATGATGAATGAAATTAGTATCCTTTCGAATGCTAATATCACAGCTCTGCACAATATTAATATCTATGTAGCTTATATGATGTGTATAATATGGAAATCTACATAGCGAAACAAAATTGATGAATGCAAATTAAGAGTGCACGAATTGTAAAAATTAAAATTTCTAGGAAAATAACTTTTTATCTGTTAAAATGTTACTTATTACCAAAATATAACAAAACTTGTTTATTAGATGTTTCATATTATATCCTATATAACTTTACAATATCTTTGGTTTAATATTTAATAATTCTATTAATTAATAACGAAATGACTATAATATTCTAACACGCTGTACTCGGAAAACAATTCTCATTCGTCACTCAGCAAAATTCTAAAGATTTTATAGTTGATATTGGGTTCAAATACTCTAACGACATATGCTGGACAATTATGTAATGTATACGTAATTGTAATAAAATGTTTATAGAGAACAGTTTTATACATTAATTTATATGCAATTTTCTTATATGTTATTGAAAAATATCATCAACTTTAAATCAAAGAAGTGTCGAGTTGTTACTTTGCTATATTGCAAAAAATTTGTAAAGATTTAAGAGAGGTTGTGAGTCCATTATGTAATTTACTGACAAGAACTGAAAGTGCCAGGAGCAGTGAACAAGAAAAATGAACTCTTGCCGTGATCGAAAACGAGATCGTGATTGTGAGCACGTGGAGTTTTCTGGCACATTTAACCTAATTTAGAAAACTAGTCGTGTAACATACATTCCTCGTGAGATGCGAAATGCTGAATGAGATCCCTCGTTATTTACTAATATTGGCACTTACATAAACATCGTTTTTATATAAAAAACATATTTTTTTAAATATGCAGCATTTTCAGCCTTTTTGTTGTCCATTTTTCAATTGCATAATTATAATAATCAGACATTATTGAAACTCAACGGTGATACGAACTCTGATTACTTATGAAAATGTTAATATTTATTATATTTATTATGTAATTAATAAAAAGTGTTTAGAAACAACGGCGAATTATGCGAAGATATCAAATTTAATTTGTGAAGCAAAGAAAAGATTCTCCATTTAGTTTTCTTTAGAAATACATAAATAGTTTCAAAAAATTCTGTTACGTATGCATTATATATGCATATATAATGTTTATATTGTAATACTTAGTCAAATTAACAATGAATAATTCTATTGTCGAAATATCTTATGATCAACTTTCGTACAATTGATTTCTGATTGTTAATTTATCCACATTTTACTAATTCATAACCGTCATGTCGGATTTGCATTATGTGCACTGCATCATATTTGTGATTTCTTTTCTTTCTTTAATCTCGTAATTCTTCATAATTTTAAGGAATAATTTAATACCATTTACAATTTTTCAGTTCAATTTTCAAAATTCCCAAATAGTGGTTTTATTTATGACATATAAAGTTATTTGATACATCGGTGAACATGGACTACCGATTAGTCCAATAACTCATAAAAATTATTTAATAATGGTATAAAATTTTTCGTAACTAAAAGTACAAATTATGCAATATCTAAATAATTGATTAAAATCTGAGAAGTTTGCATCATCAACTCACAATTTTTTATACAAAAATAAATGAAACGGAATGAATAATAACAGATATGAGTAAAAGAAGTAAAAAATTAATAAGAGTATAACTATAGCAATGATAATTATAGTAATAAAACAATTCTTGTTTAAACTGTTCATCCGATTTAATTTTTCAACAATATAACAAGAAAAATTAAATTAAAAACATAAATGCGTATCATAATCCAAACTCTTCATAACTGAACATCGCCATGCGATTTATAGATCCAATTTCACGGTTCTACCAAAAGCTGAAATTTCGCAGAAACTGGGAACATGTTCACCAACTGTTTCGACCGCGGGCATATTTCTAAGCAAATGAAATTCTACCGTGTCGAAATGGAATAAAAAATAAAAAATATAAACGAAGTGAATAATGAAAGAATAAAAGATAAAAGTATAAGGTAGGAAACTCACATGCTGGCAGGCGGAGCCGGCGGAGCTGGCGCCACAGGCGGTGGGTATCTGCAAACTATCGTAATAACTTCGTCCTCTTGCATTTCTAGACCAGGATGGAAGCGAACTACAACGTTGTTTGTGAACACGCGTTGAGGATCCTGCCTCGTGCCGCATCCTGGAACATTAACGAACATTAGGGATGACAAGCTGTCTGGGTAATGTGACATTTCTTCCAGCTTTGGAATTTTGTAAAATGAGGCTGTGTCGAGATCGTTAAAAACTTTGGACATTCCTTTACGTGCATCGTGATAACTTTAGTTCTGAAATTAGTTTTAAAAATTCCTTTGTCTTTGTTTTCACTGTTTCATATCTTTATTTCTTTCTATCTAATTTCTACTTTTGATTCTTTTGTAGATTATTAGCCGTTCGCATGACGTGAAATTTAAAGAATTTATCTGAAAAAATTTAATTTGTAGAAATAAATAAATATATAAGTAAATAATTTGTATTTGCTTTTAATTTAGACATCCTAAAATATTCTGAAATAAATAAAATAATATTTTAACATATTTCAAAATACTTTGAATGTTAATTTAAAATGTTTTCAACCAAGTAAAATAATATATTTTTTTTTTAAATATTCTGTATAATTCTAGAAAATGTATGTTTCACTATTATAAAAGTTTCAACACTTCGCGTTTGGAAATTTTATTTCATGTAAAATATATTTACATTTGCTACAATATGAAAAAAGGAGGAAACTGTATTGGGAAGTTTTTGAAATTTTAAAGAGGTAATTTAAAATATTCCATGTTTAATTTAATATCTCGTTCTTCCTTGTTACATCTGTAAGAAATTATGATTTTATAGCATTTATATGAGAAATATATTAATTATTATAAAAATGTGTTTATGGTAAACTTTAGTTTCACAAGGACACCTATGTCATATTGATAACATGAGATCGAAATTTCGAACTTTTCACATTTCGATTCGACAGAAACTTATCTTGCCAATATGTCATTAGCCAATCCCACCAAAAATCTTAAAATGAAGATATTGGGAGTGTCAAAGATGAAGCTAGGAGAAGTGAACAGGTCACTCCTGTGCCTTTAAAGTGACAATTTTTAAACTCTGCATGATATTAGATAGATAGCAAGGTATTACACGAGAACTTAAATACAATGCCGTTTGATAAATTCTATATGTAAAGTGAGTGATCTAAGATTAAAACATCAAATATTTTCGTTATTTTTAATGATACAAAAATATGTGCGAGGTATACCCTTTTTTTTGAAGGTCAAAGGATGAGTCAATTATATATATGGGTGAATTTGTCTTTTTATTGACTGCAATACCATGATCATAAAAATATATTGTTCCATTTAAAAACAATAGAATGATCTTGAGATCTCAAAAAAATTACTTGATGGCAATATTCTCCTCTTTAAAAACAAAGTCTTCTTCACATATTTTTCTGTATCATGGAAAATAACGAAAATATTTTAGGTTCTAATGTTAGGTGACTCACCCTGTATAATAAATATCTTAGTAAAAGCTAGTTCATAGATTGGGTTGAACGATATAGCGAAGTCATAAAATCGGTCCTACTGATATTTCGAAACAACGTCTTAAGATCCTTAAAACCAATAATAGAAATATCGTATAATATAAATAACACAATACGATTTAATATAAGTTAATAAACATGAACAATAAATAAACGATTTAAATAAAAATGTCTATTTGGAATAGATTCTTCCATTACTGCTTTACCAAGAAGCTCTTCTAAATATTCAAGAGATTAAATAAAAATTCGTGATGATATTTGACAATTAGCGAACAATATTGAAATTGGATGTTATTCGACAAATTTGTTTGCGTTTTACAGTTTTGCGTTAAATATCTACAATTACAAATTGCAGATGATACCTAGTGTCAGCGACATTTATGGTCATTTCGGTGTCAAACGAGACCATCGCTGGATTCTAATTTAATATGGCATATATGTGGAATATTTAGTACCTAAGTAATAATTTATGACTATACTATATCATTCGAAACAACTGTACACGTGTATAGATACGGCGTTGCTTCTACGGTGTTTTTGCAACGACAGTCTTTGAGCCTCCAAGTAAAAGGATCACTCCATATATCATAGATCAGGAGTTCCTGAAGTGTCAGTCTGCTGTAACGGTCCGATGACCATGGAGTTAGACCTGGAGGAAATTTTGCATCGTTGCCAAACTTCATCTTCCGTTCACCATCGTGCAAACTACCATAACTTCCTGTATCTCTGGAAAATGAGGGCCATTCGTTAGACACGCTGATTGGTAATTGGGATCTTTTTAGTATCAGCCAATCAGTGTGTTTCCGACACGAGTCGTCTAACACGTGTTTCACGAAGGCACTGGGTGCTCGTTAACAGTCGTCAATCATTGTGCTAGGAAAACAGGACACTTTGACACCTTCTCAGTCGTGTACTATGGGAGCTACAATTTCCTATATGTAAATACTGGTTCTTCGAGTTTGTTTAAGTCAATGCGATACTCTACAAAACCTATAAAGCTCAAATGTTATTAGATTGGCAGCATGAGTAATTAACAGGGGATGTGGTTGCTATGAATTGGTAGAGAATGTGATTTATTATGTTCTTCACCTCTGGTGCTTCATCATTGTGTTCTATTTCTCTATGTTAGGACAAGTAACTGTAGCTGATAGTCCTTTTTTCCTTTTGATATAGTTTAATTCAGTATATCCTTCTCTTGTTCCAATGATTGTATTTTTGTGAAAAATCGAAGTAGGTTGTAGGTATTTGAGGTTGAGTAATAACTCGGTTCATTTAAGAACGACATAAGAGTTATGAATATATTTTCGCTCAGAATTATTTATTTTAGGCAATTCTTCAAAAATTAATAAAATAATTAACTTTATAATATTTTCGTGACGTAATTTCTCTTCACCATTTGTTTACATTTAATGATTCCAAAAAAGACAATAACAAAAGGACATGTAATTGAAATATTCAACTTTATTTTAAAGAATTTATTTTTTGATTTATTAATTTTTTTCATATGTTCTATAGGTACTAATTCTGGTTTCCTGTTACAAGTATGGATATTATTTTATATTATTCTTATTTATAACATATTACTGTTTGTAAAAGTTACAAATGTATTGTTCATTCTTACATCCAGTTTACTCGTTGTCAGTCCATAATCAACGCAATTGACAATCCCGTATTTCACCACGATGATCATCTGAATAGTTGTAAGAACAAAATATGAGAAATATTTCCTACTTACATATGAAGGTATAAATATATAAGTTAATCATCTTCCTTTAAAAGGACTGGAATATATGCATATCCAAATGTATAGGTACATAGAAATATATTTATACCGATTTGTGTACAGTATAATTGTATTTGCACTGATATAAATGTATTTAAAACGATAAGAAGATAAGGAAAAATTATTTTAACATCTAAAATGATACCTAGTATGCAATTACCATTAACTTATTAAACATTAATAACAATCATCTTGTGCTCTATTATAACTATCAAATTCTGCAACTTTATTCGATATTTATTAATAATTACTAACACTTTTTGGGTCAATGATAGCTTTTATTTTCATAGTTATTTTAATGTATATATTATTGTGAATAGAATAATAAAATAGTAAAGCAATAAAATAATAATAGTTTATAACAAAGTAGATGCTTCCAATTTTACCAAAGGGAAAAAGATATTTTCGACAGCAAGCTAGTTTAAAATCTATGCTTCCTTCATTTTTCATAATTAATTAATAATTAATCCCTGAAAAATTTATTACTAGGGTAAAACTTTTGTAAGCAATATTCTTAGTTAATCCTTTTAATTAATCTATGAAACTTAGACATTATTTGTACTATTTATTTATTATTTATATTTTATTTAACTGCAGTACGAGGCATATGTGATCATTTTAGCGCAATGGCAATAGTATCAGGCGACCCAGTGTGCAGAAAGCATTGAAAAATGCATGATACTATATGAAGACACCAGTATAGGGTTATACAAATATGTAACTAATACATTTGAAACTGTCAATTCACTATAGACAAAAGCAAACAACGCAAAAGTTCTATGAAGACGACCATGACATTATATTTATGTTGACAGTGGTACAAAATGTAGTTTAAACGTATAAACTGTTATAAATTTATTTGTAAGACTCGTACAAGAAATACACCTATTTTATGTAACAGGTAAAAATATGGAAAGCGAAATATAGGAATACGAAATGAAAGTAGGCACTATTATAACCATTCCTTTCTTTTATTCGAAGGAATCTGCGAATAATAAAAATTGTATTATGGGTCAAAATATGTATGTGAATTAGAAGGAGTTAGGGAAAAATTAAAGCGAGGGCAAAATAAAACTCGACGTTTCTCACCATAGGTTAAAGGCTTTATTTCCGAAATACTTGAGGGAGCACGAACCCCCATCCGACAGGGTATGTCTCTTCTCGACAACTGACCTAGGATTTTTGGGTTTTCTTCCACGGTGGGAGAATTCTCACTACGTGTAGACGCTTTCAAGTCACGTCATAAATTTCTTACGTCTACTCCAACAATGTATTCATTAGGATGGTCCTTAGATATAGACGTCAAACAATTTTTTCAGTTTTTTTCTAGTTTCAACCCTTTGCATTCAACGACTTTTTCGTTACAGGAAAATAGTAATTCGAAGACTTTCTGCCATAAGGTCGACGATATTTCTAAAACGGTAAATAAGAAATCGTATGCAAATTAAGACGTAGAATTATTTTACTTCGTTGTGTAATTTTAAATTTTATATATTAATTAACATCCATCTTTAGAATCTGATTAAATGGCGACTGAGAGGTACCTCTCAAGTGCAAGGAATTAATTTACAAAATTATGACACCTAATAAGGAAATGATGTATACAAAGTGATTGATTAATGGCAACTCGTATCATAATTGAAGAGAGTAAAATTAAGAGAAATTGAAACTTGAAAAATAAATACGCTCTTGTGCAATTGTTTCCCATATGAGTTAAAAATCAGTCATCTTCCAAATACAAAAGATTGAATGAGAAGTTATTTCAAAACCTAGAAACGTGATTTCCCCTAGACATTTGTCCAGACTGACTAGGAGAAGTAAC